TGTAGAGAGATTTTTTTGCAAAAGTATGACGTCGACATAGCAAAAATAAAACTCACTCCCTCTTCATTCAAAATAAGAGCAGCGACGATACATGACGTATCGTCAGTCGCTGCAGTACCATCAGAAACTTCAGTCTGTATTTGATCGGCAATGCGTTTTCTGCAATGATATCTTTGAGGAGTATAAAACTTGCACCATCTTCTTGAAAGATATATTGAAAATGTCCACAACTAACGAAAAACTAGATAGTATGACATGCCAAACAAAAACGGCCTCTTAAGAGTGTATGCATCAACTCTAGCAAAAGGAATCTCACTTGTTGGCTGCATTTTGATATTCGGCCAAACGTCGCACGGCCTTCAATGACGGGTTGTCAATTCGCTCAGGGATTTCACTTAGAACAACAGATGCTTTTCCTTGCGCAATGTATGACCGGTAAGTGAAAATATCCTTGGCCAGTTTTTCCTCTTCAACTTTAGTGATGAGTTTCTGAAAAAATGTCCCATACGATTTAAATGATGAAGCATAATATTTATTGCTCTTTATCAAATATATGTAAAATTATGTAATAAAGTTTAACAATATTCATAATCACAGTATTACTAAAAGTGGTTTAGCATCAAATGAGTTATAAATACAGGAAATATCTTCATCCCTTTCTCAAATCTAGGCAATTAGACCAAGCAATCTAACTTCGCGCAAATTTTTGGTTTCTTGCAACGTTAAATGAAATCTATGATATGCATCAGAGCATACTATACGGAAGAAGTGGACATAGAATTTCAAAAAAAAAAAACAAATTCTATGCCAAGGATAAGCTTACATAAGAATTGACTTGATTTTATAAACGGTTTAAGAAAGATTAACACATACCTGAGCTTCCAGTATACACTGTTGGTAATGTCCAAGGAAGAAGGAATTTTTAACATCGAATAATCGGTCGACTGACATGCCTGGAATGTGATAACTTCAATTTATTGACCTTATTTCCAGGATATGTTCGGAGGAGAAAATCTCGATAGTCACATGAGGATTCCAAGAAGCCAATTAAATGCACTGTTGCGGAAAGGATAACTAACTCAAAAAGTTTTAAATATTAAATCCCAACATAAGACACACGCTCTTTTTGGATTTAGTGAAATAAACCGAACTGATACCGTAGTCCAGCTAGCTGTACAGCTGTAAGTCACATTTTACTCGACAAACATTCGCAAATAAAACTAAAATGTTAAAGAAGAGCTAGTTTTTATGTAGAAATAAATTAGGAGGAAATGACATAAAATTATAAAGAAACTTCGATTGGACCAAGCCGACACGTCTCCTCATCGAAAACTCGTCTGTGAACGACGCAATATTGCGTCTCTTTGAATGTGCTGACCACCTAAACAATTCTTATTTGTTCCGCCTTGGCTCATTGGTACTTGGACCCTAACAGGCAATTTGAAAGAAGTGAGGACTTAGCCTTTTTAATTCAGAGCGGTTCCTTCCCACAGTTGACGATTGCGCTTCTACGTCGCGGAAAATCAGCACTTTGTTTGCGGGAGTGTTTATCTATTGTTGTTTAGTTAATCTTAGTCTCTTATCTCTACTGACCAAGCTTATGCTGTAGAACATTCCAACATCACTCAAAAACGACGATCCATCCAATCCCAATTTGCAAGTTGGTATTGCTAACAAACTATTCCGTCGAGCCGGGGCAATATAACCAGGATAGATTGTGGATGGGATTACCTTTGCTTGGTTTTTAGAATAAGAATGAAGGACTTGTTAAAATTAGTAGCGCTGACAATGCTTGGTTTTTCCTTTTTGGCTGAATTTTCTTAATTGTCCACTTAGTATATTGCGGCAAGAGAAGTTGACGTACTAGCGCTCTCAGCAACGTACTTAGTTATCACTGGCCTTAGGGGACATAACAGAAAATTCCAATTAGACCATTTCTCCTCACCAACATATTTAAAGTAAATTGTGCAGTTTTCTTAGCAGCGAAGCAAAATTTCACGTATATTGAGAGGTAATGTATTTTCTAGGAAATCATGCTTTAGATAAGTCTATTCCTCCTAAAAACGTCTGCAGTCTATTCCAAAGTGAACTGTTTGCATTTGTTTGTACCACATTTTTTTCTTATTTAAACAATCTAATCCGTAGATTGTCCGGGCCCGGCGGACAACTTGTGTATTGCCACTACAAATCAGTCAGTTCCCTGTGTAAACTTTTGCAATTTTCAAAAGCGCAGCAAACTTCAAGTAATCTGAGTAAACCCTCTGTAGAAGTCGTAGAGATAGAAATTCCTACCTACAATCCCTAAGTTTATCATGTCATCTTGTATACAATTATTCTTATTTAAATGGGGTAATATTTTTCCTGCCTATAATCCCTAAGTTTATCATGTCATCTTGCCTTACAATTCCTCTTATAAAATTAAATGGAGTAATATTTTATTGTCGATATTGGATCAAGTATTACCATTGCCTCTAAAAGTTACGGCAGCGCCAGAAATCTTAAATGGAAGGATACTTAGTCGAAATGACAGTTCATGGAGGTGTATACTGCCAGATGGAGTTTGGGTTCGGGATTCAATCTCTATTCCGTATCTCCAAGCGGCAGGAAGAAGTTATGAGCCTTTGAAAATTTCGCGACACCACTTTTATCAAAATGAAGCAATGCTTGTCAACGTAGCGGCAGTTGGTGTAGGTGGTAAATATGCGTTTTCTTTGGCTGATTGATGCAAATTCGATTCCTCATCTGTACTTTTTTGCGTTCTCTTAAAAATGTTTCATTCGTCAGCGGATGTTAATATGAATGAATGACGCATTTTTACTTGAATTGATTCTAAACAAATTTCAAAAGGTGAGCTTATTCAAGGACATTCTAAGCGTAGTTAATCTTTACAAGATTTACCACACTAGCTTTTCCAACTATATGAGTAATTATTCTGAACCAGCACTCTTGAATATTATAATAAGCTATCAGGACGAAACATGTCTTTTCAAAATCACACGTAAGCTTGTAAACGAATATGACGTGGAACAATTTTTAAAGAAATATTTGATAAGCTGGTTGCCATAATCGGTGAAATGTTCTGTTCGAAGTTGTTTTTACCTTCGAAAAAGTTTGGTACCCACGACATAATACGTAAGCCAACTCGTAAGGAGCAAAAAGTCATTGGTAGCTTTGATCCATCTTGTGCGAAGTTTCTAATGATGCACTGGAAATCGAGTCTAAAAAAGATGATGCATTAGAAAATTAGAGGACCTGTCATGTCAGGACATGATGAAAACGCAGGAAGCTACGCTGCTCCTTGTTGATTTCCGGACACCAT